TTGGTTCATCAGCACCATCCTGATTGAATTCATGGAGTGGTTAATAATTCTTTAGAACACTATTTTACCTCCTGTAATATTAGTAGAGGATTTTCAGAGTGCACACATACACATGTGAAAAAGGAAATGTGGCTAACCAGTTTGGGTGCAGGAATATTGTATTTATCAGTTTCTACCCACATAATCTGAAAATGTATTTTGTGTCTTCCCATCCTGCACAACTACAGCTTCTTATTGCACCACCTCCCCATCCTCCCCAGAAAAGGGTTAAAGACATCCATCATTTTGTTTACCTGATGAAAAGACAGACACAAACATGGTGTTGAAAAAGAAAACCAAAACAGTTGAAAAAACTGGATTATTACATTTCTGTGGTTCATTATCATTCCCAATACAGCACCAAAATAGATTCCTTAACTTGCAATCTTGTTTCCTCAGTTCCACACATCTATTAAAATGTACAGTAAGAGTAACCATTTCTCCTCCAGCCTGCTTACACAATACATTTGTTCTATTGTGACCATCTTCTGATGTAAACAGAGAAGGGAAGTTACACAGATGAAAACTCTCAGGAATCTGCCTTTTTACATTATTTACACATTAAGAGAAGAGCAATAGATTAATCACCTTCTGTTGAAAAGTATTCTGTCCCCAAATCCATCTCTTTATAGATGATACATTAGGTGAATATATATTAATTTTCCTTAAACATTGCAGATGAACTATATCAGCCACATGGAATGCACAATCAGTCCTTATATTAATGAAGTAATTTATCACTCTTATGAAAAAAAACCCAAACAAACCATAAATAAACAAGATGTGGGAAATCAAACAAAACCTTGTATGAATAAATACTGTGGCTTCAATGTTTTGAAGCAAAATAAAAAATCTTGAGGCTTGACTCTGCTACTACTTTTTATTAACTCTCAGTGTTTCTGTCTGGACTATTCTTTCCCAATGATGCAAAGATTAATTGCGTTCGTTCCATCACTTTTTTCCCCCCTCAGACTGTGCCTGAGATTAGAAAGATGCAAAATGCCATTGGGCTGAGTGCAGGAAAAGCTTCTCAAAGAAATCACATAAAATAGTGTTTCATTCATTACTTTGAACAAGGTGAGGCTAAACTTCCAGGCAACTTAGACTGTGGCCACAACTCAGCTTCAAGCCTCTTCAGGGGATTCTGGGTTTACATCAGCACACACCTCAATGGTATAAAGTAAGTCCATACAGTATCAACTGAAAGCTGCAGTAGTTCAAGACAGTTTAGATTGAATTTTTATTTAATTTATAAAATTTATATTCAATTTTTAGCAACAAAATCTTGAAGAAATAAGGTGTAATGAGAACAGAATGGGCTTAGATTTCAAAGAATTCCCAAAACACGAAAAACTGTACTTTCATTGTAACAAAAGCAAACTGATTAAAAAGGACTGTAAAAGATAAGACAGGGACAGAATGGAACAAACCATTAGGGAAAAAGAAAGCTAGAAAATAAAATGTGAGGACTAGAACAATGAATAAAAGTGTTAGTCATTCTCAATTACAGTGTACAAAGAAACAAACAACTGGATAGCATTTCTTTAATTTTTTCAAGCCACCAATCCCTCCACTGATACACATCCATCCAAGCAATGTCTCTATATTCTTACAGAACGTTAAATCTGAGGATTGCTCATGTACTGCTCATGTGTCTTCTCGTTCATATAACCTAGTCATCCCAGTATGCTTCCAAAAACATTTTAAAATAAATAATACATAAGCAATCAGCCCAGAGTGTGCTTTTCCTCCAGACAGTGACAGAGAATAGGAATATCTTACGGGGTTCTTGTACACTAACAAATTATTTATGTACCAAAGATTTATTTACCTTACCTTATGCATTACTAGAATGAAAATCATATAATTCTAAAACTTTCTTTTGTATTAAATTGGAGAACTAAAACTACAATATTATACAGTTCTACCTCTGCTTGGACAGATTGTTGTCTAACAACTCTTGCTTACATGGAGGGATGAAACAATTCACTGAAGAATAGGTTGTGTTTGGTTATATAATGAAGATTAATTCAAGGAATTTTTTCTCTTTCTAGTGCTTTTCCATCTAAAAGTAAGAAATCTGAAGCTGACTGTGAATCAGTTACAGGGGTAAGAGAGTAATAAGACCCAAGAAACATTCAAAAAAGTAATGTAAACCCTAGAACTGCTATTAGTCACTTTTAAAAAACGTTGTTATTGCTCCAGCAAATATTAAAATGAAGATTGAATACCTCAAACAACTATTTGCTTAAATGACAAACTAAGTATTCTCTGGACATGCCTAATTACATACATAAAGAAGACAAGGCAGGTTGTCAAAAATGAGAAGTTAAAAAATATGCTTTGGGAGTTTTGAAGAAGTCCTTTAAGAACTAATTTATAAAATGTTTTTTCCTAGACTGTGCCATTCAAGTAATAAACAGAAATTGAAGGCATTTTGTCTTAGCAGCCAAACTGACATTAAGAAGACATCCCTCTTCAAAGGCTGCACACAAAGTATTCAAAAATGCATTTCCCTATCACTGAACAGCTGAGGCTGGGAGGGAACTCTGGAGGTCTTGTCTAAGAACCCTGCTAAAATCAGACCACCCAGAGCAGGCTCTCTAGGACCATGTTCAGATGGATTTTTACTATCTCCAAGGACAGACATCCCACCTGTGGCTTTCATTATCTGTGAATAGACTGACTGTAATATCCATTATCCAGCTCACTGAGAGTAAGCTGAAAGTAAAATAAAGAAAGATTTTGCTGCAAAAATACTATCTGTTACTCAGCAGAAATAGTTTTCAGGTAATATATTCTCTCATTAGACTACTCCAGCTAGAAAATGTATTTTTCAAGTTTTAAATTCTGAAGAACTGTTACATGTTCCCTGGACAGACATAAAGGTAAGAATATCACATTCATCATTAGATATAAAAAAATGAAAGAGGATAGGTATTGCTAATAGGTATTGCTAGGTGTGCTACAGGACCTGAAGATCCATTTATAACAAACCACTCGGTGGCTGCTGCAACAGAATTCCTGACTGAAACATGTATCCTCTTCCATATTGGCATGGGAAACACAGTGTGAAGAGGAAACAGAGCTGCTGCTCAAGAGTGAATGCACACTGTTCTCAGAATAAGCTGAGAAGTAATGTGTTGTAGCAGTTCATTTGTAAATTCCCCTTAAGCTCCTGATCTATTCCCTTTCTCCCTTATTTCCCACCTCTTTTATAATATTCTATATTATTTTATTTTTGGAAATATAAATCAAGGTCCTAGTATGACATCTAGTAACCATGCAGACATTTTGCCCCATAGACTTTACCCAATTTCATAAACTGGTCTTGGTGGCAAATGGATTCTCTGCAAATATAAGAAATGTTTTAGTTATTCAGAAGAAAAAATGTCAATAGATTAAGAGACTGAAAGAAGTCTTTCACCTGCTGGGTTAAAAGAGGAACATACATTTAATTCTAAAAGGATAGCATGGGATGTATCAAAGTTAGTTCTCATTTTTTAACAACTATTATCTACACACAAACACACAGACTTTAAATAGTAGAACCAATCTGAGTGTCAGAATTTGGGGTCTTCCTTGTGTGGTTTCTGTAATTAAGTCCTGAGACCATTATATTCCTATAGTACTGTGACTAGGTAAAATGAATGTTGTTGCCTTCTCCCTGCCTCACAAAATCAGGAAAAAGTAATGAAAATCCTAGTTATTGAAAGCTGTTCATTCATATACACACCACCTAGTATCTAACAAAGTACTGTAGAAAAACAGCTGCAAAACACAAGTATACAATTGAGTGCCATTATTTAAATGTAAAATAGACTTTAAAGTAAACTCTACTACTATCAGAATTTACATGCATTTGTAATTGACTTCCAAGTTGACTATAGATTTATTGTAAAAGTAGTTCATGTACAAAAAGAAACACCATAGTAGCTCAAGCTCATTACTACTAAATACAATCTTTGGCTAAAGGCACAGTTTTTCATCTTTAAAATCAATGTATCAGATGATTATTTTTCCCAGGCAGATAAAGGAAAGATTCAGTCAAGGTGACAATTACCATCTGGCTAGCTACAGTCATTATGATGCTCCCAATTAAATGCACATGCAATATTATACTGAAATGTTATTAGAGTTACAGTCAATGTTTATCACCATATTTGTATATTATTAGTATATTACTTTGTCTATTACTAGTAATTACTTTGTATATTATTAAAGTAATATATATGACTGTCTGCTCTGAAGTCTGATACTATGGAAGATAGAAATAATGAAAAAATCAGTGTGAAACCCTCCTGTGAATTTAGTTCCTTCCTAAAGTAACTTCTTCATACACGGATGCTACCATTTACACTCTTGTCTTTCTTCTACACTCTTCTCACCCCATTTTGGGGACTGACTACTCTTGAGAGCTTGTTGGGAGTACAAATAAGGACAGAATCAAAGTAAGAACAGACATAGAATCAGTTTAAACTTTTACTCTTGTAAGTATGTAACCAGTTATGGGTTGCATATTGGATAGAGAACACTACCCATCAGGATGAATACAGAACCAACGATGCCTTGAAAACTATAGAAGAAAGCAAGAGTGTAGCATCTGAATACTCTGTATTACTCCTATAAACACATTTATAAAACTATGAGGAAACCAAGAACAGTGTACTGTTTAGTTCTTTTTAAGACTTAAACCTTGTGAAATTTAATTTTAAAGTTAGTGAAATTCAAAGAAATATAGTTACTTACAAGCATGTCTGACTAAACATATTCAGAAAGATGTTGGAAATTTAATCTTTTGATTTCTATGGAACTATTTTACCCTCTAAACAAAACCAGACATAAGCACATTTTTTTCTGCTGAATTCCATGGGAGCATGAAAAGGTACCATAAAAAAATCAATGTCCAATTCTAATGAGAACAATGTTTTACTTAAAAGACAATATTAAAACACTGTTACCTCCAGCAAGGATCTTCTCCTCCAAATCATTCATTTGTTTCTTATATGCTTTTAAAGCAGCTTCTTTAAATGATGGCCGTATTCTTTTTTTCTTTGGAATTTCAGTGACTTCAGTAATCACCTCTGGGACATTCTGATTTTCATCCTCCCTTATTTCTACTTCAGCCACCACGTCACTTTCAACTTCTAATATCTCTTCACTGATCACACTGTCAAACTGTGTGTCATATTGCTCCTCTGGTAGCATTGCATATGGAGTTTCATACAAAGACTGGTCCAGTTCATACTCTTGGACCTGCTCACTAGTTTCACTACTATTAGTTCTATTTTCTAGTTTAGCAAGGACTTGTTCCATTACTTCTACATAGTCGGTTTCATTCTCACCAGATGGTTCAATCAATTCTTCCTCATACTCTGCTTTGTAGCAATAAGGCTCAGCATAAACATCAGAATCGAGTGTTGTACTTGATTCATTTGCAGTAGACTGAGACAGTGTTCTAAACCTTCCCATAAAAGATGATCCACTGTCTTCATACCCACTTAAGCTTTGTGTACTTTTATTCCAGACTACTTCTAAAGCTGACTTAGCACGCTGAAGCGTAGATCCAAATTTAGGAAAGCTGAAAGTCTTATCAGAAAGATCTATGCTTAATCGGCTGTGCCATGATTTAGGGGCAGTTTCCTCTGAGTCGTCACTTGGTAGTTCACTTTGACTTCGGTACATCATAGGCAATTTGTTTTGATTCTGATAAGAGGAGATAGAATTTGTTTCCTGATAATCATCATATTGACCAGTCCACTGACTCTGTGTTTCACTGTCAAGGCCTGGACAAGATGGAGAAGTACCATCCAGAGTGAAATCATAGCTTTCAGTATCATACTGGAGGTCAGAACTTTGGCCCTTTCCAAAGTCTGTCTGTTGGTCTGAAGGGCTGCTCATATCATACACAAAAACCTCCTGCGTGGATGAGTCTAGGCCCAAATCTGCCCCTTGCTCCAACTGATTCCAGTTTTGCCATGGGGAAAGATCGTCCTGTAAAGAAAGCTGACTATCATCATAATGGTTTATATCTCCAGATACATGGATTATTCCATTGCTTACTCCACTATCAACAGTTTCTATGTTCCCTGTTTCATTTTGCTCTGGATACTGCTGCATGTCTTGGGCAAAAGTCTGTTCCTGGGAACTGCCATACCAGTTCAGAGAATCATCTTGCCTTCGCTGCCAAAGTTCTCGATCAGAGGAAGACAACAATGAACTGCCATTTGTTCTGCTAAAATACTGATTTTCTGAAAAATCCTCAGAGTAAGACTGACACAATTTTGAGAAATCTGATTCTGAACGGCTAAGCTTTGGTGTTGCAAAGTCATTCTGTAAATGCCATAAAGGAGTCACATCTGAATAATAGGCCTTTGATTGTTTTTCCATAGTGTCAAATTCTGGTGACTGATTGTCATAACTTCTGTGTGAAAAGGTGCTATTGTCAGCAGCTCTGTCAAGGTCTTTAGTGTTTGGGGACTCAACAGTCCCCTTTGTAGTGCTTGTTTTTATGTGAATTGCTGATTTAGATATTTTTGCATAACTGTTCTTATTTATATCTGATTCCAAGTCTTTATCACTGTCAGGTGACTCCCAGTCATGAATTTTAGATTTTGTCTCCACAGTGAAATGTTTCATATCCATGCTTTCATATGTCTGAGAGGAAGGAAGTCCTCTTTCTTTCTTATCTTTTATTTCATGGGAAAATATATCTGTAGAAATTCCAATGCCAGTTCCCTTAAGTTTATAAGACTTTTTCAAAATCAAATCTCTCTGTTGTGAGGACTCAAAGTAAACAAGAATGGGTCTTGGCTTTGCATTTGGACAGTCTCTTTGCTGCCCAAGCCTTTGGGCAAACTCAATTTTAATGGTGCTTTGTGCCTCTGAGAATCCCATTTTTTCTATTAATATTTTGTAAACTATGCTTTCAGCTTTTTCAAGCCGCTCTTCAGGCACATTTAGAAACCTAAGACTTGCTTTGTTTCCTGGGTGGCCTATCTGCTTAATGTAGTCATGTATGTCCCGAGTTTCTCTTCTGGACTGTACAAATCCAGTTCGCAATTGTTCAATTTCATTTTGCACAACTTCTACGCTACTAGAAATTTCATCAATTGATTGTTTCAGAGCATTAACATGCCCTCTTAATTCAGAGAGCTCTGTTTCAATTTGACTTATTCCCTGAAGCTCTTTAAAGATCATTTCCATAACATCGTGGGTTTGGCTAATACAACCTGTTGAACTAAAGCCAGGTTCAAGAGTGTTTGATTTCTGGTGACGGCCAGTTCTGTCCAGAGATTTACTTCTTAACCCCCATGTTTTCCTCCAGGAACTTAGCTCTGAGTCTGATGAGACACATTCTTGGCTCTTCTTCCATTTCCTTAGTTTTCGTAAGGCTCCCAGCTTCAGTGTGTGTAAAGTGCGCTCTCCATCCGAACTTCCATCAGAGGCTGCAAGGCTGCTCAAGCTTTTCCTGTTGCGTCGCACAGGCATTGTGTGGGATAAGTATTCGCTTTTCTTGCTATTGGATTTTATTTCACTTAATGACTCAGAACAAGAGCTATCATTTGAAGACAGGTCTTGAACTATATCTTCATTAGTAGTGTTTGCTACAAAAATATGCCTTTGCAGTCCATTGGCAATAGCAACTCTGTAACTGAATGTTGGAGAAAGTGAAAATTCTCTATTGCTTTCCTCTTCTTCAGTTGATAAGTTGCGGGCAGATGGGCACTTGGCAATCTTTTTAACGGTGCTTTTTAAAGTATTGGAAAATTTTGGATTTTTTGTTTGTCCAATCTGACTTAAGTCTTGTTCCTTTTTGCTCTGACAACTCTCTTTCCTTTTTGTACTATTTCCTGATTTCTTTGTAAACATTCCTTTGCAAATCTTATATATATAAGATGAGATCAGGCCCTTGAAGAGAGCAGAAACCATGGAGCGCAATTTACATTAAGCTGTTTCCATAAAACACATTTTTTGATCCAGAGAAGTATTTGTATCTCCAAGAGGATCATTGGCAAATGTTTCAATGGACACTATAGCCATAAAAACTACTGATGCTCTGGAAGAATGTGACAGAAAAATTAAAAAAAGAATCACACATCTGCTTGTTCGAAATAAAATCCTGAAGAGGTTTTGTATGTCTTGCAAAATCTCACTGTGTTGCACATGGCTTCTTGAAGTGTCTAAAAAGGAGGGAATGACATTTCAATGGCTGTCAAGCAAACTTATCATTCAATAATACTGATGATGTTTTAACTAGGTTACAATGAAAACACAGATGATTCCCCATAATTGTCTGAATAGATTTTTTCATGAATAATTGAAGCTGAAAACAGGCAATATTGTTAACAACAATTAATAAGCTATACTTATTTCCAGGCTTCTTCATCCAGTTTAATTCTCTGACTTTAACAGAGATATTCAGTTTAAAATGCTCTCTGCCTTCTTTCAGAGTACTGACATTTCAATTTAGATCTATAGTATACACAGCAGTGATCAAAAAAACAGACAGGGTAATAAATGGTTACTAGTTAATAAAACAAAAGTAGAAAGTTTTCTCTTGCTTCACCTTTTGGAACAAGGTAGGGTTCAGGTACAAGTGAGTATTGTACATATGAAGTGCTGTTCTGTCTTGAGGTCGAATTATGTACATGACTATAGTTTGTGAAATAGTTGCTTTGACACCAGACTTTAATATGCTATGATAAGCCAGGACTCAAAAGTGGGCTTATATTCTTGATATCTCTTCTTTAAGAAGTAAAAAAAAATACTTTGAGCATAACAGAAAATAATGACAACTAATGGAAATTCTCATCCAGGTTATTAAATTTGACATTTTTCTGCTAAAAGAAATCACCCCCACTCACCCCACTGCAAACCTACACAAAACATAGTTTACAAGTTGCAGGACATAAACAGATGCCATTACAACAGGAAAGCTATTTGCTCTTAAAGAAGTCTAAAAAGCTTCCATGAGGTATCTGGAACTTTCTATTCCATACTACAAAAGCTTGCATTCCATAGAAACGTAGTCAGTACATTTTAAACATGTCGATGTATTCTTCTGTACAGCATACCATTCACCTCCCAGTTTCAAAGCTGTGGAATAAAAAGCAGCTCTGAAAAATCCATCAAAGAATAAGTTCTGAAAATGGCCATTTTTGTACCTAAAGCAGCTAAAAATTCTTTGGCAGAATAAGAAGTCTGTTTAGATAAAAGGTATATAAACGGTTAAAAATTGCTGTGTCAAGTCTTAAGAGGAGTTAAGAATATGAACCATCCTTGTCTGCAAACATCCTGGCCCTCTATAAAACATCATGGTCCACTGACATACCTCAAGAAATGATCTTTGCATTGCATAATTTGTCTTCATTGACCTTACTATTATACTCTATATATTTATTCATTATATATACACACATATGTAATGGTAAATAATAAACACTAACGCCTGATAAATACTGCAGCAGCAAAATGCACTCTGCTGCACAGAGCACAGGCCAAGCCAATAAAAGCCTGGTTGGCTTCTGGAATCCTGGAATGGAGAATGCAAACAGACTCATTTCCTTTCCAGTTATAACAAAACTGGTATGCAGAGTGAGCCGAAGAATAGAAAACATTCTTCACTCTTGCCAAAGTGGCTATTTATTATTTAACAAAAAGATGAAATATCTGTGGGACATGAATCACATTTTTAACACAGATGCTTCAGCATAGTCCTTGCCACTTTTTCTTAGAGACTTATGCCTAAAGCATCAAGAGTGAATTAAGAGCAAGCAATATTTGGAAGCAAAAGAATGGTCAATGAGACTGCATGCAACTTTCAAGGAATGCAAATGACATCTCTCAGAATATTGAGAAGTTTTCACTAGAGCCAAGGCTGCCTTGTTTTCACATATTATTAGTAGAGAAAGGAACCATCTTGGGACACTTTTCAACGTCAAAGGCATGTTTCTGGATGTAAAAACACTTGTTAACCATTCAGCTCTTACACTGAATGCTTGTAACCATTTATTGAACAAGATTTGAAGTGTGATTGCCTACCTCCTTTGCCCACATAGCCACAGATTTTTAAGTGCCTTCTTATATAAACTTCACTTCTATGACTTGGACATTCTTCAAATGACTTCAAATCAAGAATGTATAAACAAGCCAGAAGGCTTGTCTCCTCAGTCTAAAAAGCATCAAGAAATAATGAAGTTATCACTGGAATCTGGACCATTTCCATTCACTTTCAATAAGGTTTAATGCTTCTCTGTAGAAGAATCTTGATTTTACAGCAAGCCATATACATATATATATGTGTGTGTGTGTGTTTTATCCAGTGTCTAACCAATGATTTTATCAGAGGTAACTGAAAGTATCACAAATAGCTGAACATTCAGAACTGAATTTATTTAAACCCAGTTTCTGACAATGCCATAGTGAATTAAAAGCTGTACTGCTACAAACACAGGGAGATCTGCTAAATGGAGCAGATTTATGTTCTCTCATGCGAGTTCTATTCCATCTCAGCTGTATTAGTCATATGATCTGTTAATCAGTTTACAGCCTACCATTGCTCTGTCAAAAACTCTTTTTCTACAACAGTATATCTACACATGGAATCAAGTTTGAGTCATTACAGGTCTCATCCATTTCTTTCTGTAAAGATTTGCACAGGTTGCTCTTAACATTTAAAATCAACGTAAATTAAAAACTCTGTAAGATAAGGAAGTCTCTCAAGAAGCACATAGAACTAAGTAAATTATTTGAATTAGCTGCAAGTTGTCATTTGGAGACTTTCTTGTTTTATCCAGGTCTCCCAATAAACCATTATGACCTAACTTTTAAAATTGTCACTTTTCATTCATTGCTGAATGAAAACAGTTTTTATGATGAAATTCAACATTACTGGGTTAACCCATTCTAAGCTTAAGGATTCATGTTGAAATGTTACAGCAGTGAGGTATGGACTTCATGCTAGATGGTAATAGAGCAGGAAACTGGAAAGTATTATGGATTGGGAGACTAGAACTAAAATAAATTCTTAATGGGGTTCTTCTATAAAGAAAGGACAAACTGACACGTCCATCAACTTGTGACCAATAGCAAATCTGAAAATAACTTTGTCAATCAACTTGATGGTGAACAGATAATATAGACTGGCTTCAAGCATATTCAACTGGATTTGTTGATAACAAAGCATTGTCAAAATAAAAAATGTCAGTTGGAAGCATCATTTATAAAGGATCTTATTCCAAGTCTAAAACTAACGTGTCAGGTAGAAAGGGGGAGGAGTGGGCAGAGTTAAAAATTATAGCTTTTTAAATAATGCAAACAGAGTGTTTTAGTTACATATCTGAACACCAGACCCCCCTTTCAAAAAATTATATTAACAAATCCAGCCCTTTATTTAAAAAAAAAAAGACAAGTGAATCATCTTAAAAATATAATTTCTGTATTTAGATAGAATAGCTAGATCACTGCTCAGCTTCTGTTCAGACCCTAGTAAATGAGGCTGCAGAGCAGCACCTCTCTGCAGTAAGAGGTAGCTTTATGGATACAGACTGTCCTCTTATAAAGCAAAAACCATGCAGCACCATAGCCTTGCTTAACCTTCACACTATCAATCAACTACAAGGGGTCTGTGTGTATTCAAAGGGAGCAGGCAGGAAGATGAGATTGAAGTGCATTTTCTCTCTATAAAAATACCCTATGACAGTTCATGTTCACAAGAACTACCATCACCAAGATGGTAGGGGAACCAAAAGAAAACAAAGAAGTCTTTATCTGGAGCAATACCAACCTGTATTTGTGCCAAAATAGAGTCTATAGACAAAAATATATTTTTGTGATATGCAAAATACTCCCCAGAAATTAATTAATTAAACATAACAAAAAAAAAGTGTAGTGTACCCTGCATCTGCAGAAACTGAGGCTAAGAGAGGTTCTCTAACCATCAGGTACATAAGGAAACAATAACAGAATTCAGACATACAGATTTATTAATTATGGTCTTTTACTAGTCTTATGCTTGGATGGGCATAAGGTTATCTTGACATAAGTGTACTTGCCCTCAGCTCAGGTCTGCTGGGTGAAACCTATGCTCCCTTCCTTTTGACAAGCATTACAGTGTACACTTCACATTGCTTCATTAATTTATTATAACAGGAGCACTATACTGACAATCATCTCAAATGACCTAATTCAGAAGAACTTAATTTAGAGCACTTATCTGCTCCTCTATATTCTTCCTAAATTCTCCTTGTAGTCTTAACTACTGACATTTTTAATCTGTGTAATTTGTGAGTCTCAAGGTAAAATGACATTTTTCTTAACACTGCATATGCTATATAAATGACCTGCCCAAAGACCCTGGCAGAGGCAGGGCCAAGAGCAGTGAAGAGACCTGCTTTCTCTTTTGGGCAATTACTCTTTGTTCCAAGAATTCCTCAGGTTTTCACAGCAGCAGACTTTTGCCTATCCCTCCAGTCCTTCCAACATTCACACAAGAGCATGGAGTGCTATCAGCACTCTCACCCTTTGGCTAGGAAGCTGTTCTTACTGTTCTTCAAAATTACTTGCAAAGTTTACTATATCTGCTTATTTACCTGATAATATCTCTTTATGGATCCTGCTATTTATGCATATCTCATCACCCTCAGAATATGTTGCCTTCTCTATTTATGAGAATGTAAAAAGTAAAACTAAGCACCAAATTGCTGATTCAAACCCCAGTCTTAAGGGCCTACAATCTGCTTATTTTTCAGCCCACAAGGTCTACTGCTGTCCTGAGGAGGCTGCACATGGGGCACACTACAGTTTCTTCCAATCTAACAATTTAACAGTCATACTGCAAGACTGGTTGTTCATGTCTATTATGTATCTCTTCTGTCAGCATAAAACTTAATAGAGTTTAAGGAAAAAAGATGGAAACAGCACATGCTTAAACCTGACTGGCTCATTGTGATTTAGAACATTTAACCTAGAAATCACATAGAGAGCTTCCTGCATCAGTGGATTAACTCAGTAGTTAACCAGCTGCAATTAAACTACTTTGTAATGTATAGAAGAACATTGCCTTCAGATTAGCTTAGAAGAAAATGTAAATTCCTAGCAAGTTTGGATGAGTAATTTTTCTGGAGAGAAAAGTCATCTTCACTGCTTCCCTATGACTATGACCACTGTGGAAAAAGAGAGGATTTTTTTTTTTTTGTTTAGTAAAAAAATGGAGGGTTTTTTTTGCAATTACAGTTGAAGATAGCCAAATTGAAGAAAACTCCGCTATTTTATAATAACTTGCAGAATTACGTTTTTAGTTACACTATTCTCTACATCTTCATATTTGTAATATTTGCATTTTTCTCTACAAAGTTTTGTTAAGGCAACTGAGGCTATTGCAATTCAATAATTTGTTATAAGATTGTTGAAAGCATTTAGAATTCTATTTCTTTAGAAACAAGTCTATAGTGTGGTATTTACATTACAAACATGAAGACTTGTAATTGAAGCAACTGTACTTAAAGGTCAATGGCCTTAACAAGACTAAAAACAGGGAGAGATGTGCCAAATATAGTAGATTAATACTGAGATGTAAAAAGCTATAGAACAGATTCTAAAGGTAAATTGTGGCCCATCTGGAGAGCCCACAGATAATGTAGGCCAGTTGAATGTGCCCACAAGAATAAGTGACTGCACATGATTTGGATAACAGCTTCAATATTATTTGACTAAATGTACTGATTTCTTTCTCTTTAATCTTCCTAGTTGTTTCCTTGTCCTTCTCAACTAAAAAAACCCCAAAATTACACTGTAGTGCACAACCAGGCAGTAATAATGGCCTTTTCCTCCTCCTACAGCTGTATACATGATACATGCTGTCCCATTTAAGAACTTGTTTTTAGTCAATATTCAGTTCAAAACCTGCTAAGATTGAGACAATTTGACCAAATAGTTCATTTTTATTTAAATGCAGGCTTCTAAAGGAATGGAAAACATGGGGAGGGAAAAGTTATTTGCTGACTATATGGAGATTACTGTGTAACTAAGTCAGTACCAGACATATTAGCTCTGTTAGACTATTAACAGCTTGCTATTATGTCAGTTTACCATAAATAAAAGAGATACTATATAATAATCAGAACCTATTTAGTGCCTATTAAAAACCAGAAAGTGTCAACATAAACTTTGACTTAATCTCAGTTCTATCACTAGTTTTGCTGTGTTTTAAACACTACATCCTGGGAACCCAAAGTTTAATTTTGATTTAATTTACACTGAAGCATAGCATATATGCAGAGACTGTATTTACAGTATACTTAGTGTACTCAAAGTTTCTTCTAATACTATCATTTCAAAAATTTCAGCAACTTTTTAGGACAGTAATTCCATCAGAAAAGATAATTATAAAAACCAAACAAATAAAAAACCCCATCCCATTTTCTATCAGGTAAGAATTTTAATCCTCCAACTGTACTTGCCTGACCCTTGGAATCTAATTCACTGCCCTGAATTAGATTTCTGTTGGACAGTTTACCATTAACTAAGTGACCACATGTGCACAACATCACCTACAGCTTTGATTTTTTTCTTTCTTTAGGGTTTGATGGCATTTTTTTAACTACTTACAAGTAAGAGAACAACTTTATATGGGCAAAGTAAGCCCTCTGGATTCCATTCCTCCGCACACAGAGATTTTACACGTTTCTAAAATCTAGTAAACGAATAGTTACATCAAACTTCTAGAATAAAAAGTTACCAAAACAAAGTTTTTGATGAAGTGGTCTTTAATTTGAAAAATGGTAGCAATTGTCTGTGATATTTGATTTGGAAAATACCACAAGCACAAATGACTACAAGTACTGTTGACAAAAACATACACTAGGATGAGTAGGCAGATACAGATAGAAACCATGCTTAACACCTGAAATGACATTCACTGATAAGGGTGGTAGACAATACACACGTTTCTAAATTTGATGTAAAAACTTTATTAAAAAACCTCTCTGCTGTATCTGCTTCAATATACAGACAAGTGTGATACTCAGATTTGTACCTGAAAGCAAGAACCTCTGCTACCAACCTAAGTGAATGACAAAATGAGAAAAACAAAACCAATGTAACAACCTTCTTAGGTGCCAAAGAATTTTTAGGCTTCAGAGCTGTAATGGTCTCACAAGGCAGAAGCTAGTATGCTACATTCTTCCTGGATTTTCACAACACTACAGTTAAATGAAAATTTGGAATTTTCAGTCATCATTGATGCTGTAGTGAATTGGGAGATGTTCTGAGCTATGAGTATTCTCCTACTGTGTAACACTCTGAAATCCCAGTACTTCACCTGAGATTTCCTAAGTGTTTTCACAGCAACATATAGTCATAATGGTAATGTGCTGACATCACTGCAGGATCAAGCAAATGGTATAGTGACAGAAAACCTTTATGCAACTCTCCAAGTTGTGCATATTCACCTTAAAGAACTGTCATTTATCTTACATCAAGGCTTTTTTCTTTGAGATGACAGCTAATCTTAATTCATAATCATAATTCCTAACATGATATCCCTTACAAAAGGAATTTGTGATGAATGAAACATGCTTTAAACCCTAAATTCTACTTTCATTCATCTTAGTGCTTTTAGACTTAACAGCATTCTCTCACTGCTTTTCTCACTATGTTTGTTGATTTAGATGATTAAGCACTGACTTTTGGAACATTTGTACATGTCAAGTAACCTTACATTTTCAATTGCCAAATCATAGTTGTGTATTACACTAAAGAAAGGCATCTATTTTATATAATCACCAACAGGAAACAAGTATAGTGTCACTCTCTCAGTGAAAAATAGCTACAACTTTACAGACAGTTTATTCTCACATCAGAAAGCAATTGATGTTACACCAATGAATGTTTTTAAGGCATAAGAGTTCCTGCCAGCCAGGGGTTAACAACAGTATTATGATGCTGGAACTAATATTAAACCTTTTTGGATCATCATGTTATTTAAAAAAATCTTACTTCTAACTGGGCTACATTGAAATTACAAATGCAACAGAATGTCTTAAGATATTTCAAGACTAATGAAAAATCAAATAAGTATTAAGTGTTTTAATATATTTTTACTAGACGTAAGACAACTATCAGTATCCTTAGTTAAAGAGCACATAGCTTTGTGTTTTATGTCATTTATTATGTGTCAGCTGAAAGAATATATTAATAAGAAAGTGCAAAGGAGGCAGGTGACTGAAGAAAGGTGAGACCTAAAGAATGCAGTCATATTTTTATATCTGCATAATTCTTCCTCTTAAAGCAAAATGAACCATCAATCTCATAGTAAGAAATTAGTTTCAGCTACTATTGGCCTCTGAAATTGCAGAAGAAAAATACTAATGTTATCTCCTTGAAGTTAAAATGATGGACAAAAATGTATGAAATAGTTATGGTGGTTTTTAGGTTGTGGCTTGGAGAAGGTACGTAATAGAGGGCATTCTAAGACATAGATTTAGCTGTGGAACAGAATCAAACACGTAGTCTAAGCAAGCTGCCTCTTCAAAAGAAAGCTGCAGGGTGTTCATCTTGGAGATTAATCAAGACCCAGAAATACATAAGCATCCGTAAAGCTCAATTTATTACTAATCCTGTCACAAATTAGGAGAAAGGTACTGACATAAATAAGCAAAACATACTGTATTTTCACCATGTATTCATATAATTATTTTGTTTATATTTTAATATCAATTTAAACATACCAACTCATTGAAAAGACCAACACCTTACTGTCTTACTCAACTTAAACTGTGAAGTTACCAACCTTACAAAATAACCTCCCCCAGTTTTTAATGAAGTGTTAATTCCAGAAGCCCAGACAGTTTCATCAACATTATAGCATTAGAAAGCAAATCAGTTACAAATCAATGCATTGCATTAGCAAGAACAGCAGGAGGTACATTCAGAATGAAAATAAGCAAAGGAAACAAAGAAAACAGAAAACTGTATGCAGACTAGGCAAAAATACAAAGAGCATACATACCTGGATTAAATTCTTCTTAAAAATAAAACACAAATTACATACCACCATCTTTATATTATTTTCCATTTATGCAGAAACACTGTACACAAATCCATTACTATTTTGCCGTTCTTCCTTCAGCCTTAAATGATACAACATGAGGCTGCTTCCCAGTGATTCAAGTCAAGTGCAGTCAGGCATGCTGCTAGTCTGCAACGGTATCTGTTCTAAATTCCACGGTATTCCCTAGGCAGCATTAAACGGGGATTTTTTTTCTTCCTCTCCCATTTTTTTCCCCCTCCTACAACTTGTGCTAACCGCTAAGAGTAATCGTGATGTTAGCTACTAATTCATTCTGCAGCTGAGGCTTGTTTCTCCTCTGTAATAGCAGAGCAGGAGTCAGCGTCCTACTCCGGTTCAGAAACAACATCAACACGAGAGAACAGTAATCATCCTGGGGCTTTATGTGCCGGGAACTTCCCCCGCTGCTGTTTTCTCCTGTCGCCGCTCCCGAATGCAGCACCCGCTGCAATAGGCACAGCCCTCCTGCGTGGCAGCAGCCCCTCTGCTCGCAGAGCCACTCAGGCTCCCGGAGCAGCCTCGCTCGCAGGAACAACACATGCAGTGCGTCGGGGGAGCTGCCAGGTGCGCATCCGTGCCCGCAGGGGAACCGCGGGACACAGCGGCTCCTGCTCGCCAGGGCCGTGTTCCACCCTGACCTTTCATTTATCAGCCTGACATGGCCCACTGAAACGATTGTGTAGCTGTTTCTTACAGCACTGCTTTCATCAACAGCTGATAATATTTGTAATGAATCTGCTAAATACCCCACATAACTACTATCATTCCATGATGATTGAAGGGTTCTCCACGTAACAAGAAATACATCACTCACTTTCCAGGAAGAGCACTTATATGTCCCCAGTGAATACCTAGGCAGTAGGAATCAGCCTTTTATTTACTGCAATTCAAATAGCAGAAAGGATGACTACTGTGCATGCAGTTAGTAAATTACCCTGTACAGAATACATCAGGTGTTTTTCCACATCTTAACAGGTAGCCTTACACATGCTGAAAATATATTTAAAACTGACACATGAAGGACTAAAAAAATGCAGCCAGAAGGAGCCTATATAAAGCCATTCTACAGTTAGTACACACAACCAGAGTGTAAATGTTTCACAAAACATGTGTACAGGCACAAAGCCTCAGGTATGTGATTATGCTCTTTCATCTTGGGATGACTGGAATGCCATAGTGAATATTAAAGTATGTAATATTTTCTGTATAAAAATTAAACCCTCAAACTTTGGATAGTCTGTAAGAACTGACATTCGTAGCAGAAGTTTGCAATTCAGTTACTTTCTTTGAATGATATGTTGAGTAAAAGGCAGCACTGAAGAGTGTTTAACAATTTCTAGTAATACTTAAAACTTATAGGTAATAGCTTTCACTTTCTGCAATCCTTCTACTGCTGTTAGTACTGTCATCCTGGGACTCTGTTTTATGTACAATTTATAAACAGAAAAATTTTAGAATCAGATCTCTTATGTAAAGTTCTAAATTAATAATTTGATTTTTTGCATATCATTATAAAAATAATTATGGATCATTATATTGATTATGTCTTGCTGACATGAATGCAACCTATAAACAAACCATTAATTAGATTTATAGTTAAGAACAGATTAATGAATGTGTGATTATTCAAATCCTACTGTAGTTATTTGCCTGCAGACATTACTCAATACTCTGTCTACACTGAATCAAACTTATTCTTCAAAACTGCCATGTTACATGCCAAAAATATATATAATAAAACTTTCTTGTAAGCGCACAATAGGAAATATTCCACTGATATCAATACTCAGTGCTAACTACATAAGATGCAATAATAAATCCTTTCAACATCAACAGACTGCTTATATAAGGATGAAAAAAAGGAAAAACCAGGCTGCCTAGTCAAGCATGCCCACCTGTAGTAGTCACAAACTTAGAAATAACTATCTGTTTCAGCAAGATGAAACAAACAGCCTTAAGACTCCAGACAGTAAAATTAGTAAATATTGGAACTGTTCCCCAAAAATATAAAGTTTTGTCATTTAATAAAAAATGTGTTTACCAATAACATTAAGTCAGAATGCTTGGTTTAATGTTGCCATCTTCAAGGAAGCTCCTAAGTGTTGGCTCTGTTTATGCTTATGTATTGTGTTACCACATGCTGAATATTTCAGCTGAAAAGTGAACTTATTCAACTTATTTGACAATCCATCATAAGTAGGACATTTTACTCTACCAGATGCATTATTCAATTGATATTTCAGAAGGAAATAAAAAAAGCAAATATGAATCCAAAGACCTTCAGAAGCCATCATGGCTTGTCTTCCTTGGAGTTAAAGTTCTGTGTGGAACTTCTCCAAGCCAGTGATATGGTGACTTGGTTTGTAATGATACCAATTAAGAATGAAATTTTATGTATAAATACATACCAATTACAAGTGAAGCTACCCAAATTCATAACAAAGTTATGTTGTACTTCTGTTTACACACTCCTCACATAGATAAGAGGTTGATGACTTTCTAGAGTAATTCTATGAGCAGATGTTTTAATTCTGAGTTACAGATGAAGTTCTCACAGGTTTGGAAGCCCAGATAGTTGTCAGTGACTGGAATGAAACTCCTGTCCATCTTCAGAAAACATCCACACCAGTTTTTGAAAAAGTAAAACAAAAGAGCAATTTGTGTGTGTGGGCCCCATGCATTGAAGTGGTTACTGGGCAGTAACCTGACATGTTGATAAAGTTGCCCTTGAAGAACTCAGGGTTCACACTGATTTACTCTATTTCCCAAACAGTGTCAAAGAAGTAACTTCCACACATAGAAGGAAGAGAAGAGATACATGTAATTACATGTACATATACAATATGCATAGAGTTGTTGCAACTTGTTACACAATTCCAGCCAAACCCTGTAGTTTAATGGAGAAAACAATGAAAACTCCCACAAAGAAAACACTCTCACCACCAACCTCAAACAACACCCCAAACAAAAAACCCAAACTCCAATGGGCAACTGTAAGCCTGCATGGAGAAAGCAGCTATTCCTTGTGCCTATTTCCAGGATTACTTGATCATGACTTTCAGAGATGATTCTTTGAATTCTTAGAAATAAAAGTCTGTCCACTCAAAATATTTCAGTAATTTCCATTATTACTTTTGTGTAATACATTACCTAGCATATTTTAGATATTATTTGACTATTTCTACTGTGTAATACTTATATTGAATGGTGACAGATGTAAACTGAGAGAAGCACTTTTAAGTAGTTTGTATTTCATGATGGATTTCAGCCTGAAAGCTGGAAAAGCTGTCTCACAACTAATCTCTCTTTCTCCTGCACATCACCTCGCCAGTTTGCTTAAGGGATGGTTATATCTCCCCGTTTATCAAAGGAAGGCAATAAC